GAAAATAAACGTAAACGGCAAGAACCTAATGAAGACGACATACAAGTCAGTCGATCTTTCAGTCAATTATCAATATCACAGAGAAATCTAAAGAAGACGAAGTCAACAATACGAAATAATTCTTCGAATAACGAAATATCGAATGTTGTTACTGATACTAATAAAAAACTACAACAACAACAGCAACAAAAAAAACAAGAAGAAGACAATGATTTATTACCAACCAATTATGTACAACAATTTAAACCATGTTATTTAAAAGTTTCTGATAAAATATTTACAAGAATGTTATCGAATTCAATAGAAGATGGTAATAAAATTGTTCGATGTTTAAATACCAATGAAAAACTTCAATTTGTTCGTCAAATGGCTGAAACAACAAATAATTTATATTATTTCGATTTACAACGTCAACTCTGGCAAGATTATTTCGATCTTGGCATGAAAGAAAATAAATGGGCACCACGAGTATCGAAATCTTTTGCTAAACAACATCATACATGTCGTACATATGGTTTTCGTAAACATATAGTTGAACAACGTCTACAAACCATCACACAACAATTTCAACGTACAATAAATGAATTACAACAATATATATTACAATCAGAACAAAATGTCAAACATTGGCAGCCATACATTCATCCAGCTATTTTATCCAATGCTATACATGAATGTGTGAAAAGTGCTCAACAACGATTAAGACAAGAATTTGATTATAAAAAGAAAATGTTAGCATTAGATTCAAATGATCATAGTTTAATTACAAAATTTTATGACTTAAAACCAAATGAAGAACAGGTTTGTTTGAACAACATATTAGATGTTTCCACTTGTATATTCTTTTCAATTTTAGATACAACTAGCAAAACAAATATGGCAAACAACAGCAAGTTTATTAAAAACAAAAGCACAAGAAGAAATTCTCCGTAAAAGAATTTTCTTACGACGATTACCAAGTGCATATGATAAAACGATTAATCGATCCATGGACTATGTCCAACCGATGCTTTCAAACCAAGTTCTTGATAAAGATCGACGTGCTAATTTGGTATCAAATTATTCAAAAACAATTACACAATATAAATTTGATTTAATGACTTTAAATCTTGACACTATTCAAAACATAATACGTGGTCATCAACAACTACTTATGGATTTACAGAATAAATTGGCACTGTGTTGCAGTGAATTATTGATTCAAGCAATTGAAAATCGTCGACAAGCAATGGAAAAACATCATGAATTATATCTTAAACATAAATTGCATACTTTTTTCGACGAAGCTCCGACGACTTTAAACGAATGAAGCAGTATCGTAGTCGTCGGAGCAACATGTCAATTTATACTACAATTACTGCTTCATTACCATTTATCGAAGTCGATTTAAATATAAGTCCACAACAAATGTCTATGTTTATTAATGGTCTCAAATATGTTATACTATGTCAAAGTCAATTTTCTTCTAAATCTATCGAGCAACTTGTATCTGAACAATATCAAAATTTATCGACAACTGTAAAAAACTGTCTACAAGATCATCAAATACCAACTGCAAATAAACGAGCAGAAGAAGCATTTCAAGCATTACAATGTATCCTACATGAATTACAATCAAAAAAGCTATCCAGAAAATTAGAAAAACGTGCAAAACGTGAATACAAAATCGTACAAAGTATTCGACGTCTTTTACGCGACCGGTCAGATATTGTTATACGTCGTACAGATAAAAGCAAAGTATT